AGAGTGCAGGACTCTTACGGCTCCCTCTTGGATTACCAGATGGACCGAGGAAAAAGGCGTCGAGAATCTGTATGTTGGTACAGACTTCCCAACCAGTTGCACTGCCGCCTTCGATTCCGAGAGGAAGGTCGGTGTTGTTGCGGGTTTGTACGGCAAGGGGATTATGGTTTGGAGAGAATAGGAGAATGACGCCTCCATCCATCTACTTTGAGGAACGGCTCTAAATGAGCTATTCAGTCATTTCACTCGGAAAAGTGGTACCTCAGTAGGAGGTGTACTTGTCCTAAAGGGCCCGGGGACTCCGCAAAACAGGGCGTCTCGACGCGTGTGATAAGGGGTTGATCAAGGGTCAACCTGATGCAGGGACTCGAATTGATTTACTAAAACTTCATAGGGGTAATGTGGCACCTCTAATATTGAAAGGTTTGCTGAATACCATTCTCTCCTCAGTAGTCACGATTAGTAATCACAATGCAAAAACATCCACCATGTCATTAGTCATCGAGAAGTGAAATGACATCCAATGTTTGCTAGCCAGGAACCTCTTGCCAATCTCCTCGCTGCTGTGCGTCTTGAATCAGTACGATGTTCTGCTCGTAATTCCCAATCTCACACAGTGGTATTCATCACAACGCATAGGGACCCCTATTCATTCATGACTACCTACGTTATTTCTATGGAGTAGTATGGCGTAACACATTTCTTTCACAACTAGCATGACACTCTGAGGAACAAGATATTGAGAGATGCCTAAGTTATCCAGTGTGTCATGGCTTAAGCAACATTCTAGCCAAACTTACGCAGATGATTGTGCCTTTCATTTCAGCTAGATGTAGCATCTTCTTTTCCGAAAGAACCCTATTAATACAATCGACAGGATTCTTGCGGTCATCTTTTAATCCTAAGTTAGTCTCCTACCTTACTATGAGAAACTAGCATATCGTCATGTCAACCAAGAGGGACACAGAACGTAACACCGATTCCCCAAGCAACTTAAGTAGCAGGGCCGACGCTAATTCGGGATCGCGGGATGGACAATTCGCAACGGATAAAGATCCAACATTCGAAAGTCAGCAAACTGATATTACCATGTGCATCCCAGCGTCGAGGATAAGCTCGAGGGAATTGAAAGAGTACCTGGATTGCCATCACCCTGGTCAATACTCTGTACAAGTAAGTAAAAATAATGATGGGCTGACACTCTTTCTTCTAAGCCATCTTCCATGAAAGATACTGACAATAGGGAAGTTGAGGAGAGACCTATTTACGATTAAGATAAGGGGCTAGAAAATCGAAGACATATAGTATATTATCATGAAGGACTACCGAGCTATAGGGTGTTCGTAGAACTTAATAGGTATTACATGCCTTTTTTTTTTATAGAAATATCAAAAAGTTGGTTGCTTCGCCTCTCCTAGTCTTGTGGGACAATGTAAGAATCCACCCGAAGCGGACAGTGTAAGAATCCACCCGAAGCGGACAGTGTAAGAATCCACCCGAAGCGGACAGTGTAAGAATCCACCCGAAGCGGACAGTGAAGAATCCCCCTGAAAGGACAGTGAAAGAATCCCAATAGTGCTCAAGCTGAGGCTCGAACTCAAGACCCTCAGGTAGGAGAGGGGCAACCCGTACCACTAGGCCACACCTTCTAAGTGTGGATGGTGTCTTGCTGACCATATGTTTTAAGACACCTTATAACCCAATTGCTTCCCCGAATGTACAATACATATGCACGTACAGGTACATGTGATTATCTCCCTAGCAACCTGGAAGTTCTATTGTTTGAGCACCTAGGGGTCCGGGTAAAGCCCCATGAGCCTTACGGATACTAGATGAGCAATCTCTTAATATGCTGCATGACTTTATGCCCTATTCTCTTCATTGTACTCATCACAATATAGTCCCATCTACTCTAATCTCCGTTGGTAATGAGTCTCGATATGATCCAAGTTATTCCAAATCACTAGGCATTTTGAGTACATAGTGAGTACCATATTCCCTTGGGATTATCACCAGCACAGGTCATTAATGCCTTCTTGGTAGCTTCAGGTTTAATTTTAGATGCTTGTAACCCTATGAATTATTTCTGCAGTAGGCATCATCCGGATATTGCCATATAAATAAATATATCCTTTGTTGAAGACCGCTCAGAGAGGGCGTGATGGAAGCCTTCGTTAATCAATCCTAGGAACTCATGATAAGCAATTGAAGAAACAAGATCAAGAGAAACGTCTCAGTGGTAGAGTTGACATTACTTAAAAGAGCAACCTCTAAGAGAATACCTTAGGATTGCGATGTTAGAGCCCTTCGTAGGAGATTTGCGTGTTCATTTAATGATAGTCACCCACCATCCAGTTATCTATCTTAATGTACCCAATCCTTTAGGTATGTACGTATCATCATATGTATGGTGTACAAGGCACAAAAAAAAGCTGTGGCCTTTACACAGTAGAAACGGTGTTTCCCGGTCTTGCCAAATAAAGGGGGGTTACACAGGGCAGCAACAACCTCCACACCTACGAATTCTGGAGTTGATCAAACGAGTAATGTCCATTCCCTTCATGGTTGCCTATTTCGTAATTCATGAGTCCAAAGGTACAAACACCTACTTACGTAGGCAGAATTACCCCAAGGTGGAATGAATTCAAGTTAGGTTGGGTCACTACCTATATGTAGGTACCTGATCTATTACTCAGGCAACCTGAGGCTCAAGCAGCGCTATTCATAAGTGCAACTTCAACCGCATCTACCACTAACAAGGTTAGTGGTACCTCGGTGTAAGGCCCTCGACACGTTAGGTACTGGGGTGTGTGTACTGGTTGACTCAAAGTAAGGTACCTTCCCCTTATGTTTGTTGACCTCAATTCGTCCCTCTTCAAGGTGCTGACTAACACTGACGCGTTTCTAGAGGCGCGACAACAACTTCGATAGTTGTTAGCTTAGATTCTCCCAAGTTTCCGATCACATCTACCTCAGATTGATTTCCGTGTCAGGTCCAATCCACATTTTAGATTTCAACACAAATTATCCTTGACTCGGCCTCCCTCAGTTCACTACCCGGCGCTACTGTTTCGTCGTCCGTTACGATGGCCGAGGAATCCAACAATGAACATGCCGCTGCTCAACGCTTGGTCGTTGGCGATGGCCTACGTCTGGCATTCGATGGCTTCACGTTCGGCGATTGGCCCATTCGTGGCTTTGCGATGGATGCACTAATGACCCCAATTGAAGGCATCCAACCCGGTGATCTCACAGTCTACAACAACGCATTAAGTCTACTAAGCGCAGCATTTTCCGCGAAGGAGAAGTGGACTAAAGATTCGGAAGAGAAATTCAAATCCGAAATTGAAGACATGTGGGGATTAGCATCTTCGAATACAGCTCTCTTTCTTGTGAAGCGCTTCATTACGGCGAGAAGAAGATTCCAATACGACCACCGAGGTATCCGCGACTTCATATTCCCTGTTACTGCATTGGCCTAGGTGACCGATGGTTTGTGCCAGTGGGAGAAGAACCTAGGAAGAACGCAGAAAGCTGATGGGCCGATCGTTAAGAATGCTCTCAAGTGCATCCGAAGCTCGTTGGTTAAGCCACAATGGGAGACTGATGTAGTCGGATTGCTAACTCCAGATCCTGGAGCATTACCAACCACTCGTCCAGTCGCAGAAGAGAATCGAAGTGCATTCGTCTCGTCTGAAGATTTAGCAGCACTCCTTCAAGACGAATTTATTAAGCAAGGTCTGCTCGAGAACCCGGTCTACCATGAATGTATCACGAAAGTCATCAACAGTAACCTTGACCCGCCGACCCGAACCAAGTTATGGCAAATGATCATCGAAGCTCGAAGGGGCCATTCCAGCGATAGACTTACCCAGGTTGTTTGCAACGAAGTTTGTAACGGCATCTTCCGCACGTTCTCATCTGCCTCCTCTATGCAAAAAGAGGTCGACCAAAGTGTAAGCACCTTGAAGACGTGGGCAGCCCGACTCGAATTGCCGCCTCTGAATGCTACTGAGCTCCGGTCCTGCAAGAATGAAGAGGAAGACAATTACGGTGAAGCTAAGATCGCGGGCGGAGAAGACAACGGCGTCAATGGTAACGACAAGGACAACGACGACGACGATGATTATGAAGTAATCATCATTCTGTCTGAGAAGAGGAAGGCTGAGAACGTCTCCGTTTCTGAGTCTAAGCGCCGTCGCTAGGACGATGAAGTTTTGTAAACTACAATTATTGAGAGTCTTATACGTCAGAATAAAGCTTCTTGTCACAATCAAAATAGTACCAATGCTACCTGCTGCAGGGTCAGCGTGCCCACTCGCAGAAGGAGTTTAGTTTGTCCATTTTCATGTCGACAACCTCGATGTACACTACGTGTTCCCGAGGAAGGGAATAGGCTTGTTGTTCGATACCGAAGTAATTGAATGCCCAATAGAAGAAATGCGGACACAATACGAGGTAAATTTTCAGTGTGATTTGTCAAACCCCTGATCGATTATGGGAGCCCTAATATCGTCGTCTCGAGAATCAAGTACATTCGATTACTAACACTCCTTGCCCATGCCGACTAATTGATACATAGTTGAGATTCAACACTCTGCCAACTTTAATAAGAGCTATTCTTGTAGGGTCAATGTACCCAAGCAATTGTGTTCATAGAAAGGTATGCGAAATATTCTTGTGAGGTGCGGAATTATTGTGCCGCTTAGATTCACGTTTGAAGTTGGAATCATGATTATCATCTTAGCGTAGGGGGAATAAATCATAGTATGGATATTGAGATCAAACAGATGAAGAGATATAAATAAGAAACATCTCGTAAGCAGGAAATGACTGATGGTAGATAAGTTCTGCAGTTGCGGGAGTATGTTATGTGACTCAGAATGCATTGCCCGGCCGGCAGCCCTAGTGGCAATTGTTTACGAGTGACTTCCAGAAGATAGGTTGCCTTATAAGTATTTTAGAACATTAGGTCAGTACAACACCATCCATGCTTAGAAGGCGTGGCTTAGTGGTAAAGCTCCCCCTCCTTCACTGAAGGTCTCAGGTTCGAAGCCTGGCTTGGCCATAATTTGGGTGAGTGTACATGCTTCTTCGTGGGTAGCCACATTGGTACTCTGGAATATTGTCTACTGGTGCTGCTTCTCACAGCCTTGTGTGTCGCAGGCTTTTGTAGATGTCCCGTCGCGTATGGGTTCATCTTATCGCTGCTAGGTGTATGTGCTGCAAGAGGCCTTGTCCTTCACGCATACGACCCTGTCGGAGCATGTATGCAATACCCAAATAGATCGAAGAAGTCGAAGGGAAATCACCTTTTTGTTTGATGGTTCAGTAGAAAACTTGCACGTACGTATCCTGTATTTTCTAAGTGGTTTTCTTTCTCTCGGCGCCCTTCCGGCAATACCTCAACAACTGAGTCCATTTATATAGCGTCGCCTACGTAAGGACTTCAATATGTACTGTATGGTCCACGGGGTTGGTTTATATTTATCTTCTCACCCTGCCAATGCCTAGGTCAACACGTCTAGGCAAATCATTGAACTACTACCAAGACAAAGCAAATGCTCTCCGAAGGCGCAAAGAAATTACCCCGATGGTGAGACTCAGTGGCCAGGATCTTGAGTGTAGAGGGCTATGCTGAGGCTGTCGTTGATAAATATCCCATGTTCAGGGGTAAGCTTATCCGAGGAGCGATGATGATAGCATTGATGGACCGTGCTTCAAGAGGATCGGACGAGGGACTCATTCTTGGCACAGTCACTACAGTATATCTTCTTCCAACCTCGCAATTCCTTCTCATAGAACAGCGAGCGAGGTAACAGTCGCACCGACGATAGATATGTCCTTCCAGATAATACTCAACCGCGAACGAGGCCGCATACCTATAAGCCACACTCCAAAATTTACAACCAATCAGCTCCTTACAGCCGTCTATTGGATGGCCGATCCGTCGATCTTTTCGGATTATATAATCAAAATGAACTCCATGCTTGGGGGCTATGCCCATAGGTTGATTTCTCATTAGTAGTGTACACATCGTCAATTTCGCCTTCGGCCGCAGAAGGTTGGACGGCCAGATTACATACCTACCTAATCAATCCGAAGCATAAAGGATAGTTATTCTGCCATTCCCTCCTCATGCGAGCTCGAAATAATAATTAGCCATGCCCTATCCTCGTCACGAAGCGGAGCTCGAGAGGCGCGCGATCAGGGACTGTCTTCACGCCTTCAGACATCCATCTGAGCTGCCGTCGCAGCTCAAAAACTCCTGGCACCAAACCCGCGATTATTACGCAGCGCGAGATGTTGTTGCTCTCGAGAGGGAGGAACTAATCGAGCTAATCTCCTGGACGAGGAAGATTGCTCTCAAAATAGCTGGGAGTGCCCTTTTCTTAGGCGTCCTTCTCGCTCTGGCACTTATCCAGGCCTTCAGATCCTAGGATTTTGGAACCGAACCCGATTTCAAGTGGCAAGTATGCCATATGTTTTCAACGCAGATGCGCGACAATGCTACATGTCGCCCTTTTCTTATTTCGATCGGTATCCTCAGGAATGATGACGCCGATCAAAGATTGTCGCAGCAAGATTCAACCACATCAGTGATGTTATTAATGCAAGCATCTGTTAGAAGATTGGGGGGAGATACTAGCATTGCTTATTGAGCTACTGTACGAGAAATAGACCTTATCCGAAGGAAGTGATCGGTAATGGCGTTAGGCAATCCGAGAGGCATAGCAATCTTGCGTGGATTCATTATTTTTTTTTCCGAATTGGCATTCTAATGCTGTATTCCTTCTTTATAAGGGAAGAGAAGGTCACTGCGATTAGGTTATGGCTTTATCGAAACCGTCCTCGTTGGATTGATGTCTGGGGATGATCCCTTTACCATCGCCATAACTATGTTGCGTAGTCCTCCAGGAGGCCAGCCATTATTGGAGTCGGAGATACTTATCTCAACCTCTTGTCTACATATAGGCGTCTCACCTACTCCTATAGCTACCTAGATAGATACACTTATACACACATATATCTCAAACACACTCCATCAGCTATGACAATTCTTCCCCTCCCCCAGCCCCAAATTTATTCGATTCATAATCTAGCATCGAAGTGTCTTGTTAAATTACTCTTCTTTATTAGGAGGAGAGAAAAGGGGACCAGCTGGAAAGTGCTTCGAAACCGTCCAACACTAGCTGTGTCTGCCTTAAGAGACTGCATAGGAAGATGTAAGGCCGTTCCGTAGTGCATCCAATTTTCATTGTCATTGCTGCCTGGATATATAGTCAACAGTACGAGTTTCTAGCCGTTGTACAGATATCAGGTGCCTCATCAGCTTGGGCCTCTTTGTCTGACCGCCTTATATTAACCCCAACGTAATCTGCAAATCAAATTCCTCTTTCCTTCTAATTCATCAGAAATTGAATATTGATCGCGTCTGAAAAGTCAACCTTCTTACGGCATGTCTTCCTTAGAGGAGTTCACGCTCTTCTCGAATCTGCCACCCGAGTTGCGTTGTGCTATATGGTGAGTTGTTCCATAATTCATCCATAGCCTTGGAGTAGTCAAGGCCTGCCCCTTATACACAGGTATGTTAGGCAGACATATGGGATTTCCCTAACCCGCTAAAGTCAATGGTCTCCTTACACTTTCCTTCCAAAATTGAGAGGAATAGTCTTCGAGCTGACGCTTAGGCTCTAGGGAAGCAGCTGTTATCAACTCTATTGAACCGGCTGTTTACAAGTACAAGCCGGTAATTTCCTACTCGGTCTGTGATAGACGGGATAAGGGCAGCTATGGCGGCATGTTTTCTCAGCGGGTTGGGACGCAAACAATTCCACTTCCCATGCCGGCAACGATGCACGTCTGTCGCGAATCTCGACTAATCACACAAAAATCGACTGCTATCAAGTTTAATGTCGATCGGAATGGTGCCTGGTTGAATCCCCGTCGTGAATTCTGGCCTAACATTGATGTTTTCTTGGCTGACGTTTCTCTAATCACTTCCCCCGCAACTCGATACCGCTACGGAATCGGATGTTTTATCAAAAGCAATTCTGCGCACGACGAAACGTGCACTACGCATGTTGGGGGACAGTTTGATCTTTTTTGCCTTCCTGCTATGTGCGAGACATGCAAGAATAATCTAGATGAGTTCATGGAAGCCTTGAACATCAACTTGCATTCAGTTTCTGTTCCTCAAGATTATATCCATCCTCGGATTAGATCTCGCTCTGAATGGGTGCTCGACAGGGACCACCGAAATGTGGCGAATGGTACCTACCTTATGTTTCGGCCGGTGCCAGGACCATGCGGCTCAGCTCAACGGACGGCCGTGAGGCTAATAACATTGAAGCCGGGGACCCGCTTCGTAGATGAGATCACCAAGGATCCGATGCTTGTGATCGGCGGAGAAGACTCGAAGTGGAAGTTCGTGTCTCCTCCCGGTTGCAATTTATCTATATTCTCTTGGTGAAAATAGCCTGTCGGAGTTCATAACATCGTGCTTATTTCTCGATGGATATGGGCGATGGAATACCTTAGCGTGGTTGCTTAGAGACACGGAAAACGATAGGGCAACGCTGAGCACTGAAGACACACGAGCGGTGGAACGGAGAGCACCTGGGAATATTCGACACAGCTGTAGTGCGGAGTGTTTCGACCGGATCGTTCGGGGGTCTCCTAAACCCCTCTGGTACATACCTAACCTAGACGAATCGGATACCAACTCCATACAGTCTAGTTATTAGCACAGAAGTAATGGGCGATGCCCAAGAAAGGCGATAAAAAATAAAGATGTTTGACGAATATGCTCAGTAGTGACACCGGACGCCTGTCTGAGGCAAAAACTCCCAAACGAGGCACAAAATATCACCAGACATCCTAAAATGGCAAGTGTACTAGAGTTATGTAACCCATAGCAGCCCCTTTTAAAGCCAATAGAGTGGGGTTCACGAGGCGAGTCCTTCCAGTAAATAGGAGCGATAGTCTTGCGACTTTTTAAACCTTTGAGAGATCAATGAAAGGCGTTAACGTTAATAACTTGGAATGATCCCCAAAAGAGATAGGCAAATAGACTAGAATCTATAAATTATCACGCTATCTATGACGGAGGGAGAAGGAAGGGTGAAGTGCATGTGTGTAGTAACCTCGGAATGTACGGAAATATGTACCTGAGATAAAAGGTGCAAATTTTAGGTTGCTTCTTGGATCGTGTTCCTTGCATGATACATAGCGCATCTAATTTAATCTTCGGTAGACGCAGGTACCACCCAACCCGGAACCACCGGTTGGTTTAGGGCAGTATTCAGTTCGTTGCGGGGCTTTTTCTTCAGGGGAATGACAGGGGTATATTAGCGAGTTTCGGTGGACGCGATCAACCGATAGCTGCGATGGGTGAGCCTTATTTTTCTCTAGCGCGCTCTAAAACTGCACGTCAATTGCAGCACCATTCCTATTAGGTAAATTTCGAGGTACTTCCATATGGATTGTCCGAGAAACAAGAATCCTCCCAGTTCCAAGGTTGACCTTCATTCTCGAAATCTTTCTCTCGTTCGACTTCTGAAGGGAGACAAATTTGTTGGTTTAATTGTGCCCGATTGACCTCATTCATTCTTTTCGGCGCTCTGTATAGTTGTATAGGTAGTGGACATTTCTACACTGCAAACTTCGTGTTGCTAATTGACCTTGTTCAGGTTGAATTTTCAAACGCGATCTCGAGTCCATTCCCCCATTTACAACGAGTCTTTCACGTCCATTATCTATACTATATACCAAAATTTGAATCCATTAGCTGAATACGATCATGTACGCGTCCGGATCAGCTGTTGGGGCAGCATTGCTGTTCTCCTTGGCATCTGCTGTGCCGAATGTTCGCCCAAGACAGACAGACTCCGCTCTTGAGCCATGGGTTACCGTCAATGAAGACGGCAAGCCAAGCACCGTCACCCCCGTTCTCAGCACAATTAGCGGGACTCCTACCATCATTTCGGGAGCTCCTCACGATATAACCGCTACCGTCTTCACCGAAACTAACTACGGAAAAGTCTCTACAAGCACAGGCACTGCTCC